AGAAAAATTCTGCTCTGTGCAATTACAACAGTACCATTTTGTCCCATTGTTCCACTTTGTGATACTGTAGGAACATTTGAACTCTCATTCAAATTAACGGGTGTTGTTGAATGATTGTTTATATTTGTAGTAGTTAAAGCTTTATTACGCAATTCAAAGACCTGTTGTATCGCTTTACGAAAGCAAAGAAAGTTATAATCAATTACACCTACAAATTAAAAAAAGAACGTTTTGAATGTAGAACATAATATAATTTATACTTTAATATTATGTCACTGTTATATACTATTTTTGTATTTATTAATAAATTTGATTAAAAAATTATATTACCTTGTCTATCAAAATTATCTTCACGTAAAATACAGACTAAAGCCAAAAATTTATTAACTTCTCGTAAATATAAAATTGTTCCATTATTTAGTTTAATTAAACTAGAACTTTGATTATCAAATGCTGCAACCTCCAGATCCTCCCTCAAACTAAAATTAATATGTTATGTGATGTATAATGTAGTATAATGTTTTCATGCAAAAATTTTTTTGAAACATACCCATATATACAAGATACATCAATAACAACATCAATCATATCACAACAAAGTTCATAGCTTTGCATGTCTACAGGAGAACTGTCAGTTGCAATATAAATTTTAGATACTACGTCAAATAAAAATGCTTTTTCAATTGCAGAATTCTGTAAAGTAAATTACACATTAATTTGTTGAAAAAATAAGACACATTTTATGTTTATATTTTTTCTTACTGATATGAGTATGTTAAGTAAATTTTCTAGAGTTGGTAACTGCGGTATCAATTTTTGTACAACTTTACTAAATGCTTCAAATATACTATGATCATATATAGATGTCAAATGGAAACTTAGGTGTATTTGGTCACATCCTAAAATATATGGACATAAATATTTATGTATTACTATATTTGAAATAAAAATATTTTGTTACTTGATTTTTATTTACTAGAATCTGCAAGATCATCATTTGCTCTTGTGTGTATATCTCTTTGTGTTTCCATTTTACAATCATCAGACAAACCATCAACTTTATGTATAAACACTTCAAACTTTATTGCTTGATTAACCTTATATGCTTTTGTAACTGTCATATGAAGTTTATTAAGAGCATCCATATAATCATCTTGAGCATCAATAACAAAAACTAATGCTCCACAACCACCAAATATCATATCGCTATCAAAAGTAGGATCAAAAAAATCTATTTGTCCTGGAAAGTCCCAAATTTGAAACTGAACAAAACTGGAGTTACTTATATCATCTTTAATAATCTTATTTGTGCTTTCCAAAAACAACGTTTCATTTGGTGACATTTTATGAAAAACTACTTTTTGTATTGATGATTTTCCACTTCTAAAATCAAAATTTATTACATAAAGTTAATAATACAATTAGTAATAAAGTACAATATAATAT